ATAGCATTGAACTGTCTTTGAATTTTAATTAATTGCAACAAACAATAATTGAAACACTATCAGAAAACCTCTTTTAGATTTCAAATCATCACAAAACGTTGCAAATCTTCAGGAATTTCTCCAAATATATGATCTAGGTAGATTTTGAGTCATTCCAATGAAAATAGAGGATTCCTCTAGAACAAACTTTTCATTTTTTCATTTGATTAACTGATACAGTATGTTCAACAACAATAATAATTTGATTTAATATTGACAATTTTCTTTCAACCGGTAAATGCCGTTTTTTAAATAAAAAAAACTTGGACGTGCAGACCCCAGAACGAAGGAAAACTCTGCAACTGACCCCCGCACAGTAATCAGCATGGCTCAGTAATCTGTGGACACAGTCCTATCAAGCTATGATATCCGTTGCTATGGTCGTTACTCGAATTTTTTGACTATTGAAATTCTTTAAATTTTCTGGTTTTTAACGATTTTTAAAAGATGTTACCTGGATTAGTAAATCTGTATAATTTGGGCATTTGAAGGTTTATAAAGACTAAAATGGTCTTAATTGATGAAATAAGATCAATTTGAGCGTAGAAATGTAAAAAATAAACCAAAATTGTTATTACTAAAAATCACATTATTTTCGATTTTTTTGAAAAAGTTGTCTTCACTCTCGTTCAAGTCGCCACCCTATATGACACATAACCACATCAAAAAATGGCTGTTTTGGAATCAGCTCATGCTTATACAACTAGTCTGGGCTGTAGAGCCAAATCGAGAAAAATTCATCCACCCTAACCAGTATCCATCAGTTGTGGATTAACCGATGCTTTGTCTAAAACAATAGCGCTTGTGGAATCATCAATTTGGATCGAATCGTTCGATGTAACAGCGCGTTCGTTGTTTGCAGCGGCCGTTGCCGTTTCCATTTGTTGTAGATCAATTGATGCTTCGATCGGATCCATAGCACATGTTGAACTATTACTTTGCATCAAATTATTAGATGAAACAGTACGTTCATTATTTGCCTCGGCCATTTCTGGTGGGCTTGAACCATCTAAATGATGTTCATTGAGAACACTAGTGGATACTAATCAGCTGTGGATTAACTCGTGTTTGGCTCAAAACCATAGCGCTTGTGGAATCATCAGTTTGTATCGAATCGTTCGATGTAGCAGCGCATTCGTTGTCTGTTTCGACTGTTACCATTTGTTGTGGATCAATTGATGCTTCGATCGGAACCACATCGTTTGTCGAATCGTCAATTGGGATTAAGTCCTTCGAAGTTCCAACAAGTTCATATTTGCCTCAGCCATTTTCGGTGGGCCTGACCCATCTTAATCATCTTCATTGAAAACACCAGTATCCATCAGTTGTGGATTAGTCAAAATAAATAAACAAATATTTTTTTAAAACATAATTTTGTACATGACGAAATGTACATTATGTATGTATTCAATATTAGAATGAACTTACATGTGACGCGAATTGGTTCGCCTGGGATATTTAGTGTTTCTTCGATTTTGTCGAAAATAACTCGTTTTTTGTCGCCAACCATTTTAATGTGCTGCTCCAAGAATTCTAGAAGCAAATTCAGCCAGTTTTGAATTGCGTCTACAGATGAAACCACGCGGTTTGACCAAGTGTCTCTGTACTCGATTAAGTACTCAATTCGATCGTCCTGAGTTCGTCGTGCACCTAAATCAAAGCGTGTTTATTTAATCGTTTTTAAGTGCTATATAGATTGTGTAAATCCCCAGCAAATTGAAAGAATTCTTTGAAATTTTTTAAGGGGTAACTGTTCGCCAGGGGGGGTAATCGGGGTAGGCACAATAAGTCCTGTCGCAATAAAATCTGAAGCATTTTTTTGGAAATAGTTCCTGTTCCTAGAGATTTTTCCGTATATAATTTCTAGTTCGTTAAAATAAAATAAATAACGTACCATACCACTCATTAGAAATATGCTCATTTAGAATAGAATTGATAACACTAATAATTGATTTTTAAATAAAAAATTGGCACAGTCACACCGGTCAAAATAAGCATTTCATTTTAATATTCATTGACATTTGCATAAACGTTGACATATGAAATTTAGTACTAAAACGTAAATATACAACTGTCAACACGTTCACACAAATTATAGACGCCACACAATTGTAACAAACATTGTAATTTTTGTCCGCACATTTTTTTTCCAAGAAAAAAAGGATCTTAATACACATTCTTCCGCGATTCTTTTTCATGTTACTACATTAAATCGTGTTTTAAAGTCAAAACAAGTGTGTCAAAATTATTGAGCGTGAGAGCAACATTAAACATTTATTAAAAAAAAACATTTCTGAACAGCGTGAATTTTTGGTTTTCAAAGTTTTGCGTTCATTTCTATCACAAAAACAAATTTTGAATAGAATCTGCTGCGATTTTAGTTTTTTTTATTATGTTATATACAACTGTCAAAACGTTTACAAACTACTTCATTGTTATATCCATTTGAAATGCACTTGACTGCCACTAATGTAATTCTTTCACCTTTTCAAATACTCGTAGGAAAATGGTAAAATCCAGAGCGAAGGGATTGGCTGAAATAAACAAGCTAAAAGCAGAATTCGCATTACGAGCGAAAAAGGACAAGAATAATGAAGATTCTGATAGTGAAAGTGAAGTTGATGACAAGACCAAGAAGAAAGGCGATCGAACGGCAAAAGTTGATAGCGAAAACGATACCAAGAAGAAAGGTAATTAAATTCGGAGAGTTTTATCATCCAATTTAAGTAGTTCTATTTTCTGCTTTCTTTGTTTTTGTTATATAATAGCCAAAGCAAAATGTAAAATATGTGGAGAAACGTTGTATAAGAAAAACATGGCACGTCACAATGCTACTCTGCACATAATGGTAAACAAGTATTCATGTGAACAATGTGAACAAGCATTCACAACGAAAACAAACTGCCAAAATCATCGAAATAAATGTACATGTTAGTTAAATTTCCAAACAATTTTGTTAATTTTTTTAAATTTTCCCTTTTTATTACAGGGATCACGACTGAAGTCAGCCGATGTCGAAAATTCTGATAAATTGGTAGTCGATAACAGCCTCAAAACCGATTCTAACATTGACCTCACTCTCGAGAGTCGCCGTTCTCGCTCCCCATTGAAAGATCTATCTGGTTCTCGTTCTCCATTCAAAGGTCAATCTCGTTCTCGCTCTCCATGGCGTCGTAGAAGTCCTTCGTATGATCGCTACTCGCGTGATCAGAACCGCTATCATTCTCGGTATGAAGATTGGTCTGGTTATTACGGTACCTCGTCTCGAAATTGGCATCCTAATTGGTTGGACTATCCAGTTCAACCTGGTCATCCCTCGTCACAAAACTATTACCGTCAATCTCCTTCTGCTACACAAGCTCCATTGGGTTTACAACCATGCTTTCAGGTAACTTATTTTTGAATGAATAAATTTGCCAATTTTCAACAACAAAAATTACTCCTTTTTAAGGCGTTGGCAGATCTCGGAAAAGACATGGTCATGCTCGGAAATGTAAATAATTTTTACTAGAAGCAAAACTTTCACTGATAAATTAAAAATTAAAATACATTTTGTTTCTTTTTTCTAGAACTTGATCGCCGTCGCCGACCAATTGAAGGCCAGCACAGGTAAACTACAATAAAAATGATACATATGTATTTTTTGATAATAAAACTTAAAAAGAGTCAAAACATTTTACAACTTGAAATCTGCGGTTTTTTTCTTCAAAATATGTATTTATTTAATGATCAAGTGAATGAATACATCATTCAAAGTATTGTCCATCGCTAGCCACTACTTTTCCTCCTTTCTCGGGCAATTTTCGGATTCCATGTCCAAAAGAGTTTAAGGTTTTTTAAAGTTTGCACATAATTGATCAGAAACGGTGCACTGCATCGATTGAAATGAGTGGTATTCAGAAAAAGGGATGTACATCCAACAACTACAATTAGACTGAAAATCTTTGATTTTCATCGTAAATATTTTTCAATTGAGCATAAATATTTCATAGATTTTTCACAAATATTCTAGCAAATATTTAAATATATATTGTGGACATTATTAGTAAACTTACCATACAAAAATGTTACTTACGTTACTGAAATTGTGTCAAACACTGTGCAATAGTTGAATAATAAAATGCATTTACAGGATAAATGTCGTGTACATTAAATTTACATTTATTAGCCGTGTCATTTCAAATATTTTGTTATTTATTTTTGTGTATGTACAGGTAATTTAAAATTCGTCTGACATAATTTAACTTGGTTCAATTGAAGTGGATTCCGAGAAGCGAAAGCATGACAATGAAATGTTTAAAGCACAGTCCAAGTTAAATTTTAAATGATGAACGCTCACACATAGAACTGACATGGAATTAATAAAATTAATTTAAAATCGAATCAACTGCTGTGAAATCGCTTATTGTTCGTGCATGTGTTAATGTTGTCCATAATGGTGATTGATCAATGTGCGATTGAAATAATCGACGTCGTTTACTATCGCGATGTCGTTCATTTAAGCAATCGCTACTGCCATTTTCAATGCATCGTTTTTTCTTCGGACAATGTGATATACTGCTAAGTGTTTTACTTTTATGTAGGATTTTACGCTGTCTAATGCCGTTTTTAACGTTATCAAAGCTTTTCGACCGTTGAATTATGGCAACGCCGTTTGTGGTGCGATTTCGTCGTTTCGATATAGAATTAAATGAATGGGCCGTTGTTTTTTCTTGAATTTCATTGGTTAAGCGTGTGGTTGATACTAAAGGCAAATTTTTATTTATCGACTTTGGATCATCGATGCCATTTACTTTTATGGTATAACTGATGGAAAACGACGATGAAGCGGTTGTATTAACTATTTGTTAGCTACTACTAGATTCACAAGCTCTATAATGTGGGTCTGACGGTGATTCGGGCGTCATTAAATCAGTCTGTGAAATAAAAAAAAATGTTTTTAAATCATTTTACATAATCATTTTTATTAATAAGAATGTACCTGTGTCTGTTCCTGATCGCTGCGTTCCTCCAACACTGTATCCAAATCTAACGAGGGAAATCCTCTGCTGAGGCTTCGTTCAGAACGTAAACTGACAGCTCTCGTGGTACGGTTAGCTGTGTAAATGATACAAATATCTTCCATTTAATATTATTTAGTTTTTTTCCATACATGGATTCATGCATTTTAACGATAAACAAACCCACTTTTTCATCATTCCAACGTACATTTTGTAAATTTAAAAGTAAATTATATCTCTACATTTTCACTACATCACATTCTATTTACATATATTTGTGAATTTTGATCGAAGTAAAAGCAAAGATAAATAGAATAAAAAAGAGAAAACAAACACAACGAAAGCAATTAAAAGCACTCGTATTCATGCTAGCAAAGCGATTGAGCAAAAAAATATATGAATAGTTAGAAAAATTGCAATCAAATAAGAAATAGAGATGAAAAAAAAAACACAACGAAATCAAAGAAAGAAAATTCCAATTAGCGCTTCATCCTTACTGAGCCTATGGATAGGACTAAATCTCACAAGCGAGACAGCATGGTCCTGTAAATCATAGTTACGACGACGATCCCGTTCGCGTGCCATTTTAGCGCGATGACGCAAACAGCATATCACCAACAGAGCCAACAATGGGAAGCCAAAAATACACGACACAATCGGGATGACTATCGATTCAGGTGACACTGTGAATATGGAAGAAGAAAAAAAACCACATATCGCATTTAAATACATTTATTACTATTCGGTGTGTTGTTAAATTGCAATTTGAATTATTCCCAAACGTAAAATAGTACGGAATCTTTTTTTTTGTTTTTGATAAAATAATATGGATTCGTGTGGTGGATTGAACGGTTTTTGTAAATCGATTTATGCTACGAGCTGTTGTTTTTCCCAGTGACAACACAGAATCAATTTCAATGATGGTGAATGATGGATACATCCATTACATTTCCATAACAATACATTCATAACATAAATAAAATAACGAAAAGATAATATGCATTACAATTGGTTAAAAATTTGGTTAGGTAAATGGTGTTTGCAAGTTTTTTCGGGATATTTGTTTATTCCTTTGAATTTACTTTCGAGGAAAAAAAACTGGGGCAAATCATTTGTTTTGTTATCATCGTGGAATCTCATTTTCGTGCTTCTGAACTCACTGAAAATTCTGATTATCACAATATGTGATGACTGAAAGAAACCGAAAATGTAATGAACGTCTCTCTATTCACTGCAATTGCAGTGTTAAAACGTATAAATCATTGAAAACAACAATATGATTCCTCCGTACGTGGCTCGTTGGTACTCGACAATAAACACTTGCACTGAACAGTTCTGAATAATGGTTCATAAAAAAAGTACAATGCCTACCCGTCGGATAGATGATGATTGTCCGCTTTTGTCCATTTGAACTGGCCACCGACAGATTTTTGATGATTGTTGATGTGGTTGTGGTAATTGGAATGGCCACAACGGCGGCCGCCTTTGTTGTTGCCTCAACCATTGGCATTAATTTTTCCGTTGTAATGTGCGTTGAATTTATGCTGGGCATTATGGAATTTTCGTGCAGCTTTTATCGTCGTAATTCTGCTTGCGCTAATAAGTGAATGTATGCGTGGTTGTGTGAATGCGTTGGATGACTTACATTACACCATTCATTCAAAACAAACTGACAAATGATGGCAATGATATTAAATGTCTAAGATAAATATTTTGACAAATTCGATGCGGCGTGTTTCTGTGTTTTGCGATTATTTGCTATACATGTATATATATTCAATGTGATTGTTTGCCGTGTGCCTTTTCCTCTTTCACTCTCTTGTTCGAGTACTTTATTTAATTTCCTTTTCAATTACATTCATTTCGATGCGATTTGCGGTGGTATTTTTTCTTCCGGATACACATGCGATTGATGTTTCAAATGGTTTAAATTTGGCATCGTACCCAACCAGTTAACATAATAAATTTGCTATAATTCGATTTGATGAGATGAAATAAATAGATTTCCTTGTGTTTAAGCTTTGTTATTCTTGGATTTATCGATTGCCGGATGATAGTAATTTGTCGATGATTATGAAATTCTAAAAGTGTTCAACTGTCTAGCGTTTCTTTTAAAATCATCGTATTATCCAGAGTCCGTAATTCATTCACGGCACCGAAAAACAACGCTCCGACTCCAAAATGTGTGCTGCAAATGAATAAAACAAAAAGAAGAAGAAGAAGAAGAAGATAATCAGTAAATATGATGGCAATTTATGAAAACTATGAGTGGAAAAAAAACAAAATACATTTCGTTTCATTTATAACTTTGTGCTATCGATTTGAACACGATTCGCATCTTTTTTGCGCAACGATTCACCAATTTTCTGTACAATGGTTTTCATTCAGTCAGATGAAAACAATGCGACATCGATAAATTCAACTGGCATAATCGTGTCGTTTCGAATACATCAGCCAAAATCGGGTTAGTCGACAACAGTGTAAGAGATATGCAATTTTCTGTTTTACTTTTTCAAAACATGGAAGTGGAAATGTGTCCAACAAAAATCATGAACAAAATGAAGAGCGCTTGAATCTATGACGTACATAGTTGTAATAAAAAAAATATTTTGTTTGCAAAAGATTCAGGCGCCCTTGAACTAGAACAACAATAAAACTGTTTTTTTTTTTCGTTTTATTTGATTCGATTTTCAGAAAGCAGTCATGTAAATCGGTACAATGGATAGAGAGAGAGTGAGAGAGAGAGAGAGGGAGAGACTTTTCAATAATAAATTTCGTCTCATTTATTTCCTTATTCTGACATTTAGTGTTTTTTTTGCTATGGTCTCCGAAGCATACATCAGCATTACAAATCACACACATGGAGTGTGAGACAGAGATAGAGATGAATGAATGGATTCGTTCACTATACATTTTCGCTTTATCTATGTATAGTCTGTCATTCCCTTGCGGTTAAAAGTGTCCTTTCTCATCCGTGACTGCAATTCAAAAATGTTTAGAGATCTGGAGAGGGGGTTATTTTCGTAGTGTTCATGTGTGCTAGTCGAATCGACCATTTCAAAGTGAATCAGCTCATTTCCTTATTTCCGAGACGCTTGCAAATTCCATAGCAGCAAAAACAAAAACTAAAATCTCCAATTCAATTTTCAAAACATTCATTTTATTTGTCTCGTTATCTCCGTTTTCTTAATGCAATGGTAAGAGGCAGAGAGAAAAGATGAGACTGGTTCAGGCCTTGGAGAATTCAATTTCATCCGAACACTGAACAGGCAAGTGTTTTTATGGCTCTTTTATGATTTGCTTAATTTCCCATTTCTGCACTGCAGTTCGTGCGCATTTGTTTCAAGTATGCACTGAAAGAAAATTGTAATTTCGGTCATTTCATTTTGGAATTGAAAATTGTGCGCGTTATTCGATAAAGATTTTAACAGCCGCACGGTTTTTTTTAAAACCATCATAAAACTGAAAGCCGTAAATTGAACGACCGGGATTTCGTATTTCCTGCGACCGGACAGTCGATTTATGCATGTAGCTTCTCATGCAAGCCGCAAATTGTTCGAGTGCATTTGTGTTGAATTTTTTTTTGGAAATTGAATCGCATTGGAATGCATTGCAGAACATATAATTGGCAGGATTAGGAAAAAAGTTAGTAGCAAGTTTTTTTCTGGTTCTAGCATTAAAAAGTAGAGAAAGCGGATAAATTAACAAAATCAAATCAAACATTAATCTCTTTTCGGATTGTGATATGAGTGTTCTTATATGACTCTGCTCACAATGAAAATGCCACAATGTTTTTCGGTACTTGTTTTTTTTATTTGTATTGACGGATACAAAATGTATGGCAAAGTTATTTCATTCGAATAATGAAACTCGGAAGATTTAAACCGACTTTGGGTTGTTTCGATTTTTGATAACAGCTGCTGGTATACCATTTCAAATGGTTGCAATATGATAAATAGCATGAATGCTTGTTGTGCTAAGTAACACTCGCTGAGACATTGTGAAAAATGTGTTTCTTTAACAGAAGATATTCCAGCATCCAACAGCCATGTTTTCGTTTATGGCACGGTTTTTACCGTGTATAGCACAAAAAGTAAAGAGTATACAGGTACTAAATAAGAAAAACGATGAAATGTACGTCTATAAAATTTCAACAAGCTTTCGTCTAAACAAAAAACACACCAAACTCAAGTCACATTTCGAAATGAACTTGTTTGCCAAAAACGATGATTGAAACACTTTTATGCAATTCAATTCCGTAATAGGCATAAAGAATCTACGTGAAAACGGGTGCAAATCGTTATATCTATCGAATGGAAACACTTTCTCCATTACAAGATCTGTGAGAAGATGAAGAGAACGGCATAAAAATAGAGAGATGGAGAGGATGTGTATGGCAATAAATAAAACAAAATTACAAGTATACTATACATTTCCCGGCGAATTTTCAATTTTTACATTTTTATAGCCACCTTCTGAGTATATTTATGTTCAGTTTTTTTTTATCTATTTCCGCTTCTCACTTTTCGCACACACTTTTGGCATACACATTCATTTCGGTCGGAAACACGACTGAGTTCAATTCAAATTATATATTACATTAAAACATAACATGTCATATACATTCATACCGCAATTTGCAGATAAATACGAAAGTGGATAATAGACCTGAAGGATGTAAAACGCTTTTTGCATGTTCATACACCACCATTCATGACGGTATAAACATACAATGCCTTAAAGCTTAAGCGATGGAATGGACTTTCCTTTTTCGTTCGTAATATTTTAAGCGAGCATTTTTTCAGCATGAATTGCTGCCAATGTAGGAAAAGCGTTTGCTTTTGAAGAGATCATATTCGGTTTTAATTTATAAAGGCTTATGAATACCATTTCTATATTTGGAACGCTTTTCTCAGTTTTTTCCCATTTTCTATAATGGCAAAACTATTGCCAGGATACAAAAAAAAATATTTTCTTTTTCATGAAAATGCTTTCAAGTAAAGTGGTAAGAAATCGTAGAAAAGAAAGAGAAAGAGTAATATAAAGCAAGAGAAAGAGAAAGATAATGTAGAATGTATTAATTTGTGCCGGTTTTACTGTGAAAACACGTTTAACATAAACAACAGATGCTGAAAATCTGTTGATACTTTTATTTGCAGATTGTTTGTTCTTTTTTGGTATATAATTTCTTCAAATGTTGAATACATTTATCATATACCCTCAATCCGAAAATGAAGTGAATATATGCACACAACATTATGTATGTTTTGACCTTATAAGTGTGGGTACAAAGAATTAGCCGCCGCAAAAAAAAAGATCGAATACGAAAAAAGAGTTGATTTAATGACGTACGAGCAACTGTTGTCGTCGGCATCATCGTCGCTTGTTTTTCCATTATATTGCCAAACAACAGCTTATACTTTTAAGCCAGCGTTGTTGGCTTTTTCTGTTTTCATTCGTCGTTGAATGCTAAAAATGAAATTGAGACGCGATTTATTTTCTGTGTGCGTTTCTGTTATTTTGATGCTATTGTAAACTGCACGGGAAGCTCATGCTGTGATGTCAGCGGCGACGTCAACAAACTATTTCATTCTTTATGCTGCAGCTTATTATTGCTATTATTAGCATAAATTCCATTTTAACTTGACACTTGGCATGGTTGTGTCCCTTCTCCTTTTTTCTCACTGCTTTTGTCTCTCTCTTCTAATCCCAGTTCAGCTTTCATGTTGTCGCAATGTGTTAAATATAACTTTGGGTTTTTTTCCTTCGCTTTTTTGCAATGGTTTTGAATTGGCTGAACTCGTAAAATGACACCGAACGCCGGATTGAAACGAAACGAAATGTGAAACTGCACAATTGAATTCTCTTTCGAACATAATGTTCGATTAGCAGAATATAAGAGTCAGCTTTCGTTAATTCCCAAACAACTTTATAATAGAAAAGGATCTCGTTTATTTGGTGCATTGGGTAAGCTTGAGAGCATTCTGCGTGTGTAAAATATCGTGAAATAAGAGATAGACAGAGAGAAGAGAAAGAGAGAGAAACGGTCAGAGCATGTGAAAATGAAGAGCAAGAAAAGCAAATTGAATCTGAACATGGTTTTTGCTTTTAAAGAAAATTGGCCATCTGACGCACTTATTATTTCTCGCATCACAATGCACAAACACTTTGACTGATAGATTTTTTTACTGCAACGACAAATACGCTGGACGATCGTCAGTGAATACATGCATTTCACGTCACCAGTTTTACGGTCATCGTACACATACACATAGAGTGAAAAAGTGAGCATATTTCTGGCGATAGGAAGAGACGGGCACAAGGCGTACAGAATAACTTTTAAATACTTTCCGTAGAATCCATTGACACCGAAGCAAATTCGTCTACCATCAAAATGAACGATAAAAATTTCACGACATCAAATTAACTCGTACAACCGTTCAATAATAAAAACATTGTTTTATGTGCATTTAATCGATTCGAATCGTACTCTTTTGCGCCAATTTTAAAAGTGTAATAAAATCGAGTGTAAATTATGCATAATTTATGAACACATTGATCAAATATCCAAGCGATAATTGATTTTTTTTTTTTGCTTCATTTACCATTTGATGGCAAACTATTTATAGAATAGTTTGGGTAAATAGTTTAGTTTTTTTTTTTTTATATTGAAAATTATCGTTAAAGTAAAATTACCAGTGCATGATACAGAATATTAAAAATTATTATTAATAGTGAAGTCTGCGAACTGAATTGAAATGTGAGTTGTATTGTATGTGAGCATCGGATTCATTATGCGATTCCATTACAACGAAGACAGAGATTCAATTAAATTTGGCTCATAATTAAATTTTACGGATGAAATACTATCGAAACTACCACAAAATCCAAACGAAAATAAATTTTTATTGAAAATAATTGAAAACGATGACAAAATAAAATTTGCATATTGAAAACAATACCATTTTACAAAACAAACGCCATCAAATTTCATTGAATCGGAAATAATTGATATCAGCTGCTGTTTTTTTGTTGATGATGTTGTTCGTCAGACTTTATCCAATTCATTTTCATGAATAATTCACACTTCAATTTCCACCAAAGCTTTTACATTGAAATGATGTCTTGTCTACTAGCTCCGCTGCGTGTTGTTTGTTGTTTCAGCTTAATCCAAAGCTTGAAAAACAA